TGTGATTTCCTTATGTGTTGTAAACTCTATCACTATGATGATATTATATGTGATCTCCTTATGTGTTGTAAATTCTATCACTGTGATGAGGTTATACTGATGAGGTTGACAAGATTAGATAGTGTCTTAATGCAATCTCTTTTGAGATATAAAAGAGAGAAGCGAGCAGAGACACTTGGGAACCTCATACCACCAAGACAGCAGTGCTGGGAGCAGAGTGCATCCTTTGGACCTGAGGTTGCTGGGCAGAGAAGCTCCTAGACAAAAAGGGGACGGATGCATCAAAAGGACCTTCCTCCATAGCCTACAGAGAGAGAAAGCCTTCTCCTGGAGCTGATGCTCTGAATTTGGACTTGTAGCTTACTGGACTGTGAGAGAATAAACTTTTCTTTGCTAAAACCATCCACTCGTGGTATTACTGTTAGAGCAGCACTAGATGACTAAGACAGCAGTACTCAGAGGGAAATTTACAGCAATAAATGCCTTCATAAAAAAAAAGAAGAAAGATCTCAAGTTAACAGCCTAACTTGACAACTTTAGGAACTAGAAAGAGAAGAGCAAACTAACCGAGATGCAACAATTGGTCTCTATTCACCTGAAGCAAGAGGGGGAGAAGGAGAGTCAGGAATAAGAGGAGGATATGGAATGTGTGGCTAATTGCCTCTATGAACAACTGCCTCCTTTGCTATAAGACCAGAAGAACTAGACGGTGCCCGGCTGCCATTACTGAACATTTTGATCAAAGATGCCATAAAAGAATCCTGATTAAAAGGGAGGAAATGCAGAAAGAATTTAAAATTCTCATGGACTCTAGATTTTATGGAGCCATGGAAGACGGATGAACTCCTGAAACTATTGCCCTGAGATAATCTTTAAACTTTAAATAAAAAATATCCCCTGACAGCTAACAGACACATGAAGAAATGCTCACGATCATTAGCCATTAGAGAAATGCAAATCAAAACTACAAGTAGATACCATCTCACCCCAACAACGCTAGCATTAATCCAAAAAACACAAAATAATAAATGTTGGAGAGGTTGTGGAGAGACTGGAATACTTATACACTTTGGTGGGAATGTAAAATGTACAACCACTTTGGAAATCAATTTGGTGCTTCCTTAAAAAGCTAGAAATAGGAGTTCCATACAATCCAGTAATCCTGCTTCTTGGAATATATCCTAGAGAAATAAGAGCCATCACACGAATAGATATATACACACCCATGTTCATTGCAGCACTGTTCACGATAGAAAAAAGATGTAAACAACCTAGGTGATCATCAGCGGATGAATGGATAAACAAAGTATGGCATATTCACACAACGATAAAGATGGATCTGTGAAACATAACGTGGGGGAATCTGGAGGGCATTATGCTGAGTGAATTTAGTCAGTCACAGAAGGACAAATATTGTATTATAAGAACTCAAGGAAAGGTTTAAACACAGAAGAAAACATTTGTTGATGGTTACTAGGGTGGGGAGGGAGGGAGAGGGTTTTTCACTAACTAGATAGACAAGAATTATCTTAGGTGAAGGGAAGGACAGCACACACTACAGGGGAAGTCAGCACAACTGGACTAAACCAAAGCTAAGGAGTTTCCTGAATACAACCAAGTACTTTGAGGGACAGAGCAGCAGGGGCGGAGGTCTGGGGACCATGCTTTAGGGGACATCTAGGTCAATTGGCATAACAAAGTTTATTAAGAAAATGTTCTGCATCCTACTTTGATAAGTGGTGTCTGGGATCATAAAAGCTAGTGAGCGGCCATCTAAGATTCATCAGTTGGTCCCAACTCACCTGGAGTAAAGGAGAATGAAGAACACCAAAGTCACAAGGAAAATATTAGCCCAAGAGACAAAAGGGCCACATAAACCAGAGACTCCATCAGCCTGAGACCAGAAGAACTAGATGGTGCCCGGCTACCACCAATGACCGCCCTGACAGGGAACACAACAGAGAGTCCCTGATGGAGCAGGGGAAGAGTGGGGTGCAGAACTCAGATTCTAGTAAAAAGACCAGACTTAATGGTCTGTGACTGGAGAAACCTCAGAAAGTTGGCCCCAGAACTCTCTGTCAACCCAGAACTAAACAATGCCGGAGGCCAACTCTTCAGACAAAGATTGGACTGGACTGTGGGACATAAAATGATACTCTTGAAGAGTGTGCTTCTTAGCTCAAGTAGATACATGAGACTAAATGAGTAGCTTCTGTCCGGAGGTGAGATGAGAAGGCAGAGAGGGTTAGGAGGTGGTTGAATGGACATGGGTAATCAGGAGTGGAAAGGAGGAGTGCGCTGTCACAGTATGGGGAGAGCCATTAGGGTCATATAACAATGTATTTATAAATTTTTGTATGAGAGACTAACTTGAATTATAAACTTTCACTTAAACTACAATAATAATAATAATAAAAAAAGAAATAGCAAAAGCAGCATTAAACATCAAATCAGAAATCTCCTTGTATAAATTGACCATTTTGATTCTAACGGCCTTTGTCAAAGGTGAGGAATCCATTCACAGCAAGGTGAATAAAACTCATAATAGTAAAAACAATAATCAATTACATATGTTAAAATTTCCAGTTTAAAAAGAAAAAAAACCCTGAAGTCATCTTAAAACCAAAAAATAGTTTAGCTTAACTAGTAAAAAAGATCTACTTTGAGCATTATGCTCTTTTAAGAACTGCCTATATAGGATCCAACTGACAATAGCGACTCAAAAGATTAGATAGGAACCTTAGGGTGCAGTGAGTTTATGTTAATGAGGGAGGAACAACTCAGAAAAGAAGGGTGAGAATTGTTGCACAACTCAAAGAATGTAATCAATGTCACTAAATTTTACACGTAGAAACTGTTGAATTTGTGTGTGTTTTGCTGTTCATATTCTCAACAACAACAAAATAAATAAAAATTTGAAAAAAAAGACCTCATGGTCTGTGAATCAGAACCCGAGTGTCGTAGTTATCTAGTGCTGCTGTAACAGAAATGCCACAAGTGGATGGCTTTATCAACCAGAAATTTATTCTCTCACGATTTGTTGTTATTGTTGTTAGGTGTCATCAAGTCACTTCTGACTCACAGTGACCCCACGCACAACAGAATGGAAAACTGCCTGATCCTGCACCATCCTCACAATCTTTGCTATGTTTGAGCCCATTGTTGCAGCACTGTGTCAATCCATCTCTTTGAGGGTCTCCCTCTTTTTTGCTGACCCTCTACTTTGGCAAGCATGATGTCCTTCTCCAGGGTCTGGTCCCTCCTTATAACACGTCCAGAGTATGTGAGACAAAGTCTCATCATCCTTGCTTCCAAGGAGAACTCTGGATGTACTTCTTCCAAGACAGACTTGTTCGTTCTCCTGTTCTCTCGCAGCTTAGGAGGCTAGAAGTCCGAATTCTAGGCACCGGCTCTAGGGGAAGGCTTTCTGTGTGTCAGCTCTGCAGGAAGGTTCTTGTCTCCTTTTAACATCTGTGGGCCCAGCATTCCTTGTGTCTTGGCATCAGTCTTCTTCTGGGTCTAGGAGGTTCTCAGTGCAGGGACCCTTGGTGCTCTGCTCGAAGTTCTTTCTTGGTGGTAGTAAGTCCCTCTCTGATTGCTTCTCTCTCTTTTTATCTCTTGTCAGATAAGAGGTATGACTCAAGCAAGGGTTGACTAGAGTAAGGTGGTAACTTGAGTAAGGGTGGTGACTTAAGTAAGGGTGGGGCTTGAGTCACACCCTCCAGCAAGGGTGTGACTTAAGATACACCCCACCCTATTCTTGCCTATAGAGGTTTTAGGATCTACAACACATAAAATGGAGGATCACAAGATGGAGGACAATTATATTAGATCACAAAATAGAGGATAATGACATACTACTGGGAATCAAGGCCTAGCCAAGGTGACACATATTTTGGGGGACAAGGTTCAATCCATGACATGGAGCATGAATGGTTTGTTACCAATGAGATGAGTACAGAGATCGACTGCAAGCATTTAGAAACTTTTATTGCAATTTGAAATAGTAATTTTACGTATGTTCAACCTAATAATTAAAAATAAGATTTATATTCTATACATCCTTTCCATTTATTTTCTCATAATTAATTTTTATTGTGTTCTACAAAGTAATTCATGTGGATGGATTGGACATTTTAATAAAATGATCCTTCTCCACAGACATGGAGAAGCAATGGTCTAGGGTGTGATCACTGGAGTGGATGGCTGAGGCAGAATGGAAGTCAAAATCACTGGAGGTCAGAGGCAAGGGACTTGCAGGCATCATCCTAGTCAATGTTGAAGTCATCAAGAATGGTGCCATACTTAGGGTGGAAGTAATATCGGTTTATGTTTATGTTCAGCACCCTGGGGAAGTTGGTCCTGAAAAGGCAGAACTGAGGTTCCCTAAGATCACGTTATGTTATTTCCCAAGGGAAATAGCGTCCAAGATGGCAGGAGGCTTGCAAAACCTGGTGCCCAGGCATTAAAAGGCCAGCCTCCTGTGCTTTGTCTGGTCTGCATTGCTCTCAGGGGAGGCCTCAAGTGCCTGACTTCTTTCTGGGCATGTGCCAAATAGAAAACCAACGTGTCCAAGTCCCAGCTGACCCTTGGTGGTGGCTGACAGAGCATGGCCTCAGAGACGACTCTCATAAGAGGAAATACCCAGAGTCTTCAGGAATATGAATCCCAACTCCTGTCAATTCCAGGTTCAGGAGACACAAATGGTGTAGGGGCTGTGGAATAGATCACCTGGCTGTGCATGCATGAGGAGGCATGGACCACATTTTCTGATCTGGATACAGAGTCAGTGGCATATGGTCTCCGTCAGTCCAGAGCAGGGGTCATGGGCACTGCAGGGGTTGGGGTGAAGGACCTGCACTGAAGCCTTTGCCAAGTGGAGAAGCAGGCAGCAGGGCTTAAATCTGGGGTCCCCAGGAATGCAGGAGTCATTGAAACACACAAAACCCAGTCAGACATTTATTGGGGCAGGGGAGCCAGTTCCCCACCCTGTAGGCCCTTCAGACTGATAAGATTTCGATGTGGAACTCCAGCTGGTTGGAAGAGGCTTCCTTGTCTACCTGTAAAAGGTCATTGGTCTGGAAGGTGAGGCAGCTCTTTGGTTCCTGAATCACGCAGACAGCCTTGCTCATTTGGCAGTAGCATTGTTGGCACCTACACATGCGGACCCAGGACTGCAGCTTGACGGCTGCCTGCTCCTGGATTACATAGGCCTTCAGCAGGTTGTGCAGTTGTTTATGCATCTGCTTCAGCCTGAGCGTCCTCCACCAGCACTGAATCATCCAGGCCCTGAGGGCAGCCACCAGCAGGGTCCGACGCACCAGGGTGCCGCGCCACCAGGCCTGGATCTTCCTGGCTGCCTCTACCCTTTTTCTCTGGCGTATTGCAAGAAGCAACTGGCCAAGCAAAGCAGAGGACTCACAATGAATTTTTCACCATCAACCACAGCCCTAGGGTCTGCCATAAAGGAGCTCCGATCCTCAATCTTAACAGTTAGCATTTCCCCACAGTGGTTCTGAGGACCCAGGAGACCTGGGTGGGGTCTTGTCTATGCTACTGTCTTGTCCATGACCATGGACACATCCACTCACCCTCTGAGTTACAGTATCCTTGTCTATAAAAAAGGGGATATGCTTGCCCTGTGGACCTCACAGGTGCACAAAACCAGGTGAAGCACTTTCTGTTCCAGATGACGGGACATGGGTGTGAGGAACCAAGGAGGTGCCTATGAGCCCACCAACCCCTCCACCCTTGCAATACTCCTCATGAGGACAGTTGTCTGCATTTATGACCTGAATCCCAGCCCACATGTCAACCCATGATGCTGCCTTCTGATGTTGTATGTGGTGCCACAGCGTGTTGGGGTCACCCCTACCTCACATTTTTTTATTTCCACTACTTACCTCTCAGTCATTCCCACATGGTTTAAGCCCAGGCCACCCCTTCTCCAACTTCACATTTTCCACTGTGCTGTGTCCCACCTCCCCTGTGGCCTGTCTACACCCTCATTCCCAGCCTCTCCACCATCTTCTCCATAACTAACTTGGCTCACCGAGGATGGAGACAGGGTTACTGGGACAAGAAAGCAATACTGTGGGAGCAGAGAGGGATCCTCCCTTCCAGGGACCCTGGGGTCAGAGGATCAAAGATCTTTGGTTATCTCACACTCCAGAGCCCTACCCACCTTCCGTCTCTTCTCTCTCTCTAGGGCGTCTTTATCTGGACCAGACCTACACTTCTGTAATCAGAACATAGGGGGAGAGCATGGGTGAGGACTATCCTCTGTGCACAGTCCCCACAGCCCCAGATCCCCATTCTTTCCTTGGGTCCTATGAAGTTATTAGTGCTTCCCACTGTCAAAGGGCAACTCCCCACCCTGCCGAGTCTTACACAACATTTACTGCCCATGGTTTGCGGACAGTGGTTCAGGTGTTCACAAGCCCTCTGGTTGCTGCTCCCCCAGCCCTGGGAGGGGCAGAAGGATGATGGAGGAAGAGACAACCATGATGTCACAAGGGCAACTGTGACCCAGGGACCAGGTTGACTACCACAGACTCAAAGTTGTTGGATCAAGAGGAAACACCTGTCCATTTCCTTCCTGCCAGCAATGGGCCAGAGTCCTCAGTGGAACCACCGTTCCTGTGAGTCTGTCCTGCCCCAAGGGTGACCTCTTGTCTGGCCTGCCCCAGGACCGTCCTGCCATAGGCCACTGTGGACAGCAGTTTGTGCCATGCAGAGGAGGACATATGGGCCTTCCCACTGCGCTGGCTCCTGCTGGTCCCCTCACCGCACCCCCCCATGCTCTCCCGCCTTCTTTGGGAAGAGTGGGAAAGCCCCCCTTTTAATGGAGATCAATGTGTTTGTGGAGGGTGAGCAGAAGATGCTGAAGAAAGATCAAGATGGAGGCACCTCAATTTCCCTTTCTCCTGCCATTGTAACACCCTGTCATTCTGTGGCTTTTTGGTGGCAATCAACTTACCAATATATGATCCTTAAAAGAAAACAAACCCTTCCCACACTGTATCTGAAATTCGGTGGAGTGGAGGAATTTTCCATACCTAAGTCATTGTGTGTGAGATGGTGCCCCCTCCCCAGGGTAGACTTCTCTGGTGGTGGCACCCGACTTACAGAGCACAGGGGAACTGATAGGACAAGAGTGATGGAGAGAGTTGGAAGATGGTGATTGGCAGAGAGCAGAGGTCAGTTCATGTGCAATGTATGTGTTGGCAGGGGCACTGAGGATCTGGAATCAAGATGCCCTCCAACAAGCCTAAGTTAAAGGAGCACCACCAGTGGGATGCAGGAGCTCTCACAATTCCCAGAGGCCAGAAATTGTGCCACCTGCTCCCTGTCCCTCTTCCTGTTGCGCCTGTCTCCCATCTCTGCTTCTCTCTGCCTCTGCAGAGTACCTTCTTAAGGTCCTATGGGCACAAGACTGAAAATGACCATCCCAGCCATGGTGCCAGCATATCCTGGCTCCAGCAACACCTGTCAGTTTACTCAGCATTGCTGAGGCAAAGCCCCAGGAGGAGCAGGGGGAGTCTGGCTGGCCCAGAACAGGCTGTAGATTAGAGTTGAGGGCCTAGACTGGTGGTGGTTGTGGGGGATGGAGGTGCAGCTCTCAGAGAATTCAGGCCTTTGGGCAGGATATGCACCCATACGTTGACTTCTGTTTCTACTCTTTAGCCACCTGTCTCCACACATGGTCTTCTTTCCGTGATCCCACGTTCCTCCATGAACGTTCTCAGCCCCCGCTCATAGGGAGACTCCCAACATCACATTCCATTGCCTCCAGACATGGCATCACCTGTCGCCACTTCCAGATTTCTGGATCTTCAGGCAATGCCCATTTCTCCTCTAGTTCTCTTACCAGTTCCTTATCTAGTTGCCCAAGGGTAACTCCTCACCACCTTGCAGCATGAGACCAAATGAAACATTCTTCTGCCATTAACATGCCTGACATACAAGAAATGAGAAAAACAGGACCAGTCACAAAACACCTGTTTAGAAGAGGAGGAGAATGCAAGAAGTGGGCTGGGAAGAACCATGGTCGAGTCTAGGGCACATATAGGAGACATGGTAGAGTCTGCAGATCTCTCATCATGGGAGACTCCAGAGGTGCACGTGTCTTCAGGCTGAAACCAGACACAGATCAACACCACTCGGCACAGAGGACTGAAAAGGCCTGTTATGGATTGAATTGTGTCCCCCCCAAAATTTTTTTGTAAATTCTAACCTTTATGCCTGTGGTTATAATCCCATTTGGGAATGGGTCGTCTTTGTTATGTTAACAAGGCAGGATTAAGTCAATCTCTTTTGAGATATGAAAGAGATTAAACAAGCATGTGAGAAAAGCAGAGATGGGGGAAGTGAGATGTCACACCATATGAAGATCACCCAGGAGAAGAAGCTCAAAGAGACAAGGACTTCCTTCCAGAGCTGACAGAAAGAGAAAGCCTTCCCCTAGAGCTGGCACCCTGAATTTGGACTTCTAGCTCCCTCAACTGTGATAAAATAAATTTCTGTTTTTTAAAGCCACCCATTTGTTGTGTTTTTGTTATAGCAGCACTAGATAACTAAGACAGGCTTCATGGGCTGGGACAGGAACAACAGGGGTCTTCCTAGGAGAGAGAGTTTCACCTGGGTCTCTTTGTTTCTTTGTATTTATTTGTTTCCATTTACATGAGTCCATATTTTAAAGCCACCACTTGTCTGTCAGTTTGTTGTACTGTGGTGGCTCGTGAGTTGCTTGTGATTCTGGAAGCTATGCTACCAGTATTTCAAATACCAGCAGGGCCACTGATGGTGGACAGGTTTCAGCAGAGCTTTTAAATTAAGACAGACTAAGAAGAAAGGTCTGGTGGTTTATTTCCAAAAATTAGCCAGGGTAAATCTTATGAATCTCACAGTTACAGATACTTCTTAGACATAACCGAACACCTCAAGGGATGATTGCATTTCTGGATTTGAAGGATTAGGACCATAGCATCGTCAGACATCTTGGTCAATCGGCATCATATAGTTCATAAAATTATGTTCTACATCCTAGTTTGGAGAGTAGTGTCTGGAGTGTTATAAACTTTCAAGTGTCTTTCTAAGATACAACTATTGGTCTCTACTCGTCTGGAGCGAAAGAGAAAGAAGGAAACCAAAGGCTCAAAGAAGAAACTACCATATTTTTATGCAAATAACTACTCCTTCTATGTTTCTTTGCTAACCTCGCCCTCCACCCTTGAGGTATTTTCATAAGCACATTATGCTAATTTTTTTATAGCAACAGGGAAAAAAATTGACATAGTGGTGCTTATGAAAATACCTTGCGGGGGGAGGACATGGTTGGCAAACAAACGTAGAAGGCATGCATTATTTGTGTAAAAATAGAGTAGTCTAGAGGACAAATAGTCTACACAAACCATGTCCTTATCTACCCTTAGACCAGAAGCACTAGATAGTGCCTAGCTACCATCTAATCAGGTCCACAATAGATGGACCCTGATAGAATGGGAGAAAAATGTACAACAGAATCTCAAATTCCTAAAAAAATAAACATACTTACTGGACTGGTTGAGATTGGAGGACTCCCTGAGACTATTGCCCTGAGATACTCTTTAAACCTTGAACCGAAACTAATCCCTGAGGTCATCTTGTAGCTAAATAACAAATTGGCTCAAAAAATAATGAATATCACCCATAAGTACTTTAAAAAATCACCTATATAAGACCAAACAGTCAAGAATTACTTTAAAGCAAAGATAAGAATGTAAGGGAGCAGGGAAACTAGATTAATGGAAGTGCAACAGGCAAAATGGAAATAATGAGAATGTTCAAGCCTTGTGAAGAATGTAATCAATGCCACTAAACAACTTCTGTATCAGCTGTTGATGGGAACCTAACCTGTTGTGTAAACCTTCACCAAAAACACAGTAAAGTATTACTTAAAAAAAAAAAAAACTTTATGAATCACAACAGAACATTGTCTGACTCATTTGCTTTGGACACTTCCTCAGGAGGGATAAATTGCTAGAGGAGGATATCATGGATGGTGAAGTAGAGGGTGAGGGAAACCCTTGGTGAGATGGATTAGCACAATAGCCATTACAAGCACAGATTCAAACATGCTGGCCATCATGAAGATGACTCAGGATGAGGCAATGATTCATTCTGTTGTACTTAAGGTCACCATGAGTCAGAGTTGACTCGACAGCAGCTAATAACAACATATTTTAAAGAGTTAATTAGTTATTCTGGCTTGTTTAAAAGCCAGCCATCTTTGGCAGTCCCCACTGCACCTCCCAGCCACTTTTAATCCTCTGTCCCCATGCTGTCAGTTTGTCGTACTGTGGTGGCTTGTGTGTTGCTGTGATGCTGGAAGGTATGTCACTGGTATTTCAAATACCAGCAGGGTCACTCATGGTGGACAGGTTAAGATAGACCTAGAAGAAGGACCTGGTGGTCTACTTCAGAAAATGGCCGGTGAAAACCTAATGAATAGCAGCTGAACATTGTCTGGGATAGTGCTGGAAGATGAGCTCCTCAGGTTAGAAGGAAGTCAAAATATGACAAGGGAAGAGTTGCCTACTCAAAGTAGAGTTGACCTTAATGACACGGATGGAGTTAAGCTTTCAGGACCTTCATTTACTGAGGTGGCATGACTCAAAATGAGAAGAAACAGCTGCAAACATCCTTTAATAATCAGAACACGGAATGTAGTAAGTATGAATCTAGGAAAACTGGAAGTCATCAAAAATGAAATGGACCACATAAAGATAGATAAGCTAGGCATTAGTGAGCTGAAATGGACTGGTATTGGCCATTTTGAATCAGATAATCATATGGTCTACTATGCCAGGAGTGACAAATTGAAGAGGACTGGTGACACATTCATTGTCAAAAAGAACATTTCAAGATCCTTCCTAAAGTACAATGCTGTCAGTGATAGGATAATATCCATATGCCTACAAGGAAGACCAGTTAATACGACCATTATTCAAATTTACACATCAGCCACTAATGTCAAAGATGAGGAAATTGAAGATTTTTTACCAACTTCTTGGTCTGAAATTGATGAAACATGCAATCAAGATGTATTGATAATTACTGGTGATTGGAATGGGAAAGTTGGAAACAAAGAAGAAGGATAGGTAGTTGGAATATATGACCTTGGTGACAGAAACAACGCTGGAGATGGCATGGTAGAATTTTGCGAGATCAACGACTTCTTCATTGCAAATACCTTTTTCCAGCAACATAAACGGTGGCTATACATGTGGACCTCGCCAGTTGGAGTACACAGGAATGAAATTGACTACATCTGTGGAAAGAGACGATGGAGAAGCTCATTTTCATCAGTCAGAACAAGGCCAGGGGCCAACTGTGAAACAGACCATCAATTGCTCATATGCAAGTTC